GAGTTTTTCCAACCATTCACCTTACCAGAGTTGATAGCCCCATCTACAAAACCTTTCATCCATGCTATAACCTCCTTTGACACCAACATTGTTGCCCTCTTATTCTCTCTGATTTTCAGTACAACCTTGCCTTTGGTCCTTTCCTCTTCGAACTTGAACGTCTTGGCTTCGATCGACACCTTAGACCTCCATCTTCCTACTGCTCTGAATCCTCTCTCGCCCTCCATCAAGAGGTCCTCATTACAATGCTACAGAACTCTTGATCCTTAAGATTTACAGGACTTCATAGCTTATTATTTTGTCTGTAACCTTAGTTTCTTATATTTGTTTAATGATTCTTGGGTTTACAATGGCTTTTTTTAAAGATTGTTGGGACATAGTCAAAGAAGATTTATTTGAGGTCTTCAAGGAATTTGAAAATAATCAAGTGATGAGTCGGGGAATTAATGCTATTTTCTAGTCTTAATTCCGAAAAAGAAAGAGGCCAAGCATCCAAAGGACTTTAGACCTATCAGTTTGGTGACTAGCGTTTACAAGATTGTGGCAAAAGTCTTATCTTTGAGGATAAAACAGGTGCTTCCTTGTCTTATTAGCCAAGCGCAAGGAGCTTTTGTTCAAGGGAGACAAATTGTAGATCAGATTCTAATAGCAAATGAATGTGTGGAGGAGATGAAGAGATCGGGGTGTAAAGGTTATATTTGTAAACTTGACCTTGAAAAGGCCTATGACTTAGTGGATTGGGGATTCTTATCACTCGTGCTAAGGAAGTGTGGGTTTGGGGATAAGTGGTGCAAATGGATATAAACGGTTGCCTCTCTAGTTGCCATTATTCCATCCTAGTCAACAAGGTAGTCACTGATTTTTTCCCAACTAGTAGGGGTCTGAGACAAGGTGATCCCATGCCACCTTTCCTTTTCACCTTAGTCGCCGATGCTTTTAGTAGACTCCTTTCAGAAGCGGATAGAGCCGGATCTCTAAGAGGGTGGAGAATAGGTAGAGAGAGAGTGTCAATAACCCATCTCCAATTTGTAGATGACATAATAATCTTTTGTGAAGGTTGTGATTTGACAGAGGTAAGGAATCTGAAGGACTTAATAATTCACTTTGAGAGGGCCTTGAATTTGAAGGTAAATGTTGAGAAGAGTTGTCTTGAGGGGGTTAATTTGAATAGAGAGGAGGTGGAGTCTATAGCAGCCTTGTTAGAATGCACTTGTTCTCAGTGGCCTCTATCCTACTTAGGACTTCCTCTAGGTGTAAACCCAAAGGAAAGTGGGTTCTGGAATCCGGTGGTTGAAAATTTTGAAAAAAGTTTGGCAGCTTGGAAGAGGAACTACATCTACGTAGGTGGTAGAGTTACTTTGATTAAAGCAACTTTAGCCAACTTGCCTTTATACTTCTTGTCGGTCTTTAGAATTCCTAAAAGGGAGGCAAAAAGGTTGGAAAAACCGATGAGGGACTTCCTATGGGAACCTGGTGAAGAGAAAAAAGATCACTTGATTAGGTGGGAGGTGGTGAGTCGGAGCAAAAAAGGAGGACTAGGCTTAGGGAATGTGGTGAGTAAGAATGAGGCTCTTTTAGGTAAGTGGCTTTGGAGGTGGCCCCTGGAGAGGGAGAGGTTGTGGCATGAAGTTGTGAAAAATATCCATGGCTGTTCTGAATCAGGTTGGGATGCAGGGGTATCTCGATGGGCTTTGCTCACAACACCTTGGAAGGCTATCTCTGGCATTCTCCCTAAATTCCTCAGGTTTGTAAGGTACAATGCTTGTTCTGGAAACTCTATTCTTTTTTTGGGAAGATACTTGGGTGAGCACTCAACCCCTAAAAGACCATTTCCCTTATCTCTATTCCATCTCCCTCTTTAAAAAGAAACCCATTTCTTGGTTCCTTCCCCCCACCCCCGGTTTGCCCTTTGGCTTTAAATTGGGATTTTGGGTTTCGGAGAGGGTTAAGGGATGAAGAGTTTCATTGTGTCTCAGATCTGTTGTTGCTTCTAGATTCGGTGTGCCTGGACCCCACCAACCCGGACAAAAGAGTCTGGGCTCTAAACCCGATTGGCTCTTTCACTTGCGCATCTTTCTTTAAAGCCCTTTGCTCTAACCCTTCCTCTCAGATCTTCCCTGTTAAAGAGGTTTGGTCAAGGCCAATACCCCCCAAAGTAGCGGTGTTCTGTTGGGAAGCCTATTATGGTAAGATCAATACTGTGGAAAACTTGCAAAAGAAGAAACCTTTTTTGTGTATGTCCCCAAATTGGTGCTTTATGTGTAAAGTGAAGGGTGAGGACTGTAATCATTTGTGATATCGTGCTCCTTTGCTGCCAATATTTGAAATTGGGTTGTTTCTTTATTTGGGTGCAGGTCGAACTTGCCCTCTGAAGTAAAGCCGTTGTTCACTCCAGATGCTCTTGGGAGATTGACAAAAAGGGGGAAGATAATGTGGAAATGTATCAGAGCCGCCACCTTGTGGATCTTATGGGAGGAGAGAAATGCTAGAATATTTCAAGAAAAAGAAAGAAGTCTTGCTGAAGTCAAGGAATGTATATTGACAAAGACAATTTCATGGCTGAAATCCTCACAATTGTTGGCAGATTTCTCCTTTGATGACTTG